TTTAGTTGGTTGTGTGGTCAAAATGAAGTTTTTTGGGTTTAGTTTGTATAGAAGGTATTTGGTGGGATTATATAGATTTGTGAATTTAAGTAGGTGATGAAGAAAACTACGTTTTAATTAAGGATTTATTAGTTTGAACAAATTTAAAGTGCTTTCAAAAGATAGAAAATATGTTTTTTTATATTACTTTAATGGTATGATTTTATTATTAATAGAATTCATATTTTGAACGAGAGACTCTACGACACTTTCGATTGAACTTTAACTTTATAATACGATAGTGAAAATGATATTTAGTAAAATGATCCAAACACATCGAATATCAATTCATATCAATGAATGTACTTTTTACTTGAATTTGTTACCACAATGGACCAAATTTGATGGAAATTGGAACCCAAATAAGTACACCTTTTTAAATAAAAGCCAACTTAAATGGATTACTTTTGAAAAGCTTATACGTAAGCTGGGAAATCATCATGTTTTTTAAAATTGAATTAAAACTTCAAAGATTCTCAGTATCAATTATCTTTGAAGTCGAACCAAAATTTTTAAAGTCTTCACCCACGCGTTCTTAACTCAGTATCAAGATTTCAAAGTTTCAGAATAAAATATATTTTCTATTTAACCCTTAAATGACAAGCCTAAAATATGAATTTATAATTTCAACTGTATGAGTTATTATTATCTATAGTTCTGGGAAAAAAAAAAAAATTATGAGTTATTAACTGCCACTGGTGCTCATTTAGCAAATAAATATATTGGGTCGGCTAAAGTTAATGTTTCTTTATTTGCCGAGTTAATTGACTGGGCTGTTTCGACCACGGGCCCAATACTTAATCTGTTCCAATCTACAAAGGCTGCCTTCATTTGTTCAGGCTGGGCTATTAATTTAAGTTCAATCGTCTGCAGCCTAAATGGGCCCAAAGCCCAATTTCTCCCGATCACCACCCAACCCACAAAAAATCAATCGTCTCCGGAAAGTCCGCCATCACAAAGGAGCCGAGTTTCTCCGACGGCCTACGGCGCCAGCTGGCGGAGCAGATTTTCCAGCCAATTTCCAGGAGTTCGAGTGGAGAGAGAAGGCCGACGCGCTCTGGAAGGCGTACGACGGAGCTGTCGAGGTCATCGGGGATTTCGAGATCTGGTGGAATGAGAAAATTGTGGAAATGGATGTTCGGAGCGGAGGTCGGGTCAAAGCCCTGGGCCCGGGACCGGATCTTGCGGTTGTGGGCGGCGGCGATGTGGCACCGGGCGGAGACTCGGATTATGAGCACGGCCAATGGGATTTTATTCGCTATGGGAAATAGGTAATTTGTTATTTAGTTGTTGTTTGGTGAACAATAAACATTTTTTTGCATGGTTTATTTAAGTTTCTATTTTTGGATTTTATACTTTATGATATAAATATAGTCTGCCACATTTTATGTATGGTCTTGATAAATTACCGAATCAAACTGTTCGGACCGACGGCTTAATTGTTAGGTAGGTCAATCAGTTTGAATTTTTTTTATGTTATTTTAAAAGTATAATAAGCTTATATATTGAAAAGATATAAAAGTGTGATCGTTAGACCTTAATATTAAATAATCAAATGAGAAATTAAGACTAACGAATATGAGAGAGCCAATTTAGCTAGTTAAACGTATAATAATGGAATTATGGTTTCTATTTGGCCAATTTTAATTGCTTTCTAATGCTAACAAAACTCAAATCACTAAATACTATTCACCAACTTTTTTTGTCTAGGGAAAATGAAACTTAATCGATCACCATGTTACTCATGCAATCAAACCTCATCCATAATTAAATTAATAAAAAGTCTCAACAACAAAAAACAACAATTTGTTCGTTCACTTCTTAAAAAAAAAAGCAAAATTCAAATATTATTTTATTTACAATTGAGATATTAATCTCCTTTTTAAGATATTATTTACACTTAAAAAACAATCAATTTCATTGGTGAAATTCAATTATTACCTTAACCACAACCATATATTATCATCTTCTAATGTGACTAATAAACGCGTCCATTTCCTTACGGCTCGTGCCACCTTCCATGACCGATCTTCTCACGACCTTACCTAACTCGGCCGCATTTTTCCTTATATCGGGCGAACTCATCAGTTTCCTGACGGCCTTCTCTATGGTTTTCGAGAGGACCAGCTCGTCCTCTCGACTCCACTTTTTAATCTCGACTCCGATTTTCAAAACTTTGGTGATTAAGGCCGCATTAGCCGGTTGGTCCGAGTGTTGGGCCCATGTCGCCATCGGCACTCCCATCGAGATGCTCTCAAGGCACGAGTTCCATCCGCAGTGGCTCACGAACCCTCCTATTATAATAATAAAACATATGAGGACATCAATTGAACAATGATTATGCTCCCCCAATAATAATAAATAGTACAAAAGTACCTTAATTAAATAAGGGGTTATGTCCCCTAAAGTGTAGGGAATATCCCTTGAGTTCAGTTACTTTTTTTTATATATATATATTTTTAAATTTGGATTCCTATTTTAGTGGAGTTCAACTTATGATAAAAAAAGAAAGTGTGAGTAGACTGTAGAGCAACCGAATCGAACTTTAACTCCCCACACTCTGACTCTCTGAGTCCACGTTTAAGCTTATATTGAGTTGGGTTCGACTTGTTAGCCAAGTATTCCAATAAATGAGTTTGAGTACGACTACTTTACCAAAATTGATGAATCGAACTAAGACAATAGTTTAGTAAATCATGTAAAAACCATATTTCTTAAACACATTGAGCCTTAACAAGTTGTTGCGACCTCTATTTCAATTCATTTATCAAATTAGTCGAACTGAACAGATAAATTATACAGCCGAACCGATAACAATTCCGCTCGCCTTAGCACTAAATGCCAAGAATTGGCATAACTAGAAATCATTATCGCACTAAAAACTCAAAATATTCTTTAAAATTACCAAAACCACCTCAAGATTTGATTCTCTACCAGACTACCACACGTTAATTTAACACCCTTATTGC